CCTTCGTACTGCCGAGCTTCGAATCGCCTGGAAAGCAGGGCGAAGCACTCTATCGATCTGAACAGTAATGACGATAACCATCAACCACTCAACCAAGCACCACAACGCACTTCCAATAACTTAGCCATTTCTCGGTCGGCTCGAGCGACCGCACTAATCCTCGCACTCTCCTTAGTAGAGCCACGCCACCCTCGCAACACCATCCGACACAACCCGACATGCAGATAATACAAATCGATCATTTCCTCTCGACACCTGCCCCCCCGACAGGCCACATACCGGTATAATTTTCGACCTATCTCCACTCGATAACGCCGCCACTCCTCAAAGACTCTCTTCAACTCTTCCAATCTTCTCGCGGCTAGCATAGCATTTAGTCCGACTCGCTTCGTTCGTATACGAGCAATTCGTCTTCGTAATTTCCCCATGGCTAACCTCATCTTGATTTTATTCAACTCCCTTTCTATTCCCATCATCATCACAAAACCAGCCATAGCTCGCTTCAGTAGCTTCCCATTGGAGTGTCGCACTGCCAAGGATTTGCTCGATCGCTCCGCCGTAATTATCCTCGGCAGTTCATAGCGCCACGCGACGATTACTCGACTCATCGAAGACTTCTCCGACTTCACCCGAGCCTTCCAATACGCCAAACACTCCCTCGCACGATAACGCAATAAGACGTTGGGTATGGTTTTGAGCCAAACCTCATTGAGGACCTCAGCCCGCGCCGTTTGGACAGCCCAGTGTCGCAACGCTAACTCCATTCGGGTGTATTCGATCGCCGCTCCAATTGTGGTACTCACAGCGGTCACCTCTCTGAGTTTCTTACAAACTTCAGCCCAGGCATGCAGACATTTCGAGCGGAGCGGTGCGGTACGAGATAGTAGGTAATGGTCACAGCGAAGCCTCAAGGCCAGTGAGTGACGGAAACTGAAGAAGGAGTGGTATCATCATCAACCATGATAATAGCAATTCTAGTGAAAATAAATAAGTACATCGATCATTTCATTTAAAAGTTAATAAACAAAAACTAAAATTTTCATCGTCATGATCATCATCAGAGTTTCACCCTAGTGATATGCAAAACACCAGTGAAAAAGAACATATACCACAATTCACTTCGCGGCATACAATAGTGTTATCGGTGGTCGCGGCAACATATACGTCCCATTGTTCTCATCTAGTATTACACCCCTTCACCTTAAACGGGTCATGAAACTCCAGTAATATCATTGTCGATGAGTGTTACCTCCTTATCCACAGACTGAGAATTCTCCCTTGCCATATTCTAGACACTCCTCTTCCCCGCTCAGCGAGACGTCTGCTCGCCGCTACCACTGCTAGCCATGCACGGATACATTCCCGTTGTCGACGAGCCTCTCCTCGAACAATACAAACGCCCGTCCTCCATAATAAAATATATAATTTCTTCAAAGCGATCACTCGCTCCTCCAGCCGACGCTGCAATTTCCGCCGTAGGCCTTTAGCGGACCTAATCCGTATCTTCCACGCTTCGAGGTAAGATACCAAAGTCTGTTTCACGTGACACTCAAAGAGTCTATCCAAGATCTGCTTAGATCTACCCGCGATTCGCCAACTCTCGAAAATTGCGCCGCTCCGCTTCGCCACAATATTCATCCCAATGACCTCAGCCGCGTGCTGATTTCGCAAACTATATCGCTTCCAAGCGGCCAACACCCCAAACGTTCGAGCCATCATTTTCCTGCGATGCTCTCCAACTACTCTTCGTTCGAGACTCTTCCATTTCGCTCTTTTCCTCCACGCGGAAAGGCGCGTTCGGAAATAACACAACACTGCGTGCGCCATCATTTCCGCATCTCGTCGTTGCATCGTTTTCGAAAACGAATAAAGTCTATTCAAAGCCGTTCGCATCGAAACTCGAATGATATTAATTTCCAACCGCCGTGCAACCACTGACCAAATGCTCGTTACCAACCACTCCGTAAATACCAATCGAATTTTTCTTCGCTCCGCTAGAATTTTGATTCTCATTCCAGCCTGCCGAGCGGCCTTCCTACCCTCCGTGAAGCTCCTCAATGCCATCAGCACCTCCCTAGAGAGGCACTTGCGACGGAGGGCGGCCCTTCGACCAGCCTCCACTTCCGAGCACCGAACCCGTGCGCTCTCCCAATGCCAGGCGTCATAGACCGACGATAACATCCGCAATCTGCACGCATGCACAAGAGCTGCAAGTTTATGCCATGATTTGAAGTGGAGTGCTTTCACTTTACCCGAGACCGCCATATGCCGTTCCCTGACCGCACGGTGATCGAGCGCCTGATGGCACCAGAGGGTGATGTACCGAGAAGCACACCTTCTCTTCCACTGCAGAGACGCCATCTCATGCCGAGCACTGTCAAGGAGGCGGTTCGAATAATGGGCCCTCCACACGCACAAATGCCGCGATAGTAACTCACTAGAAACGAGCCTTTCAATAGCCGTGTGCACGCGTGCACATTTAAATCGATACCGCACCTCCGCCAACCAAGCATCACATACAGCTGCTAATATTCTTAATCGTTTCCGCTCCACCAAATACCCTAACCCCGACGATTTAAGAGCTCCGATCCGACGATTATACGCCAACTTATGCAACGCTGATGCCAGACGCCACCTCCCCCATATGTACCAAACAGTCCCTTTGGAATTCCAACCGAAGTAGTAATTGCGACGCCCACTCTCGAACGACTTGCTGCATTCCCCGTCGCGTCACCATTCCTACTACTGCTTGGTGGGCTTTCCGAGCTCTATAACTCTTTCTCCAGCACAACCACGAAACTCTAGCCCTTCTCATCACGCCTGTATCTGCGATAACCTTCACTATGGGCTGGAGCCCACTATAGAAATCCCCAAGTTGTGCTCGCCAAGAATTATATCGTTTCCATACCCGCAAGGCGTGTTTCATAATCGCCCTTTCGATTTCAACAGCTCTATACAACTCAGTTTTGGATTTCTCCAGAAACCTCCTGAGGCCCCTGAGCCCGCGGAGCAATCGGAAAATTCTCATCATCGAATTTACTTTTTTACAATCCTCCACAGTTGATTTCCATTTTAATAAACTTCGCTCCGCTCGACGATAGGAAATTATTATCATTTTTTCCCGAGATTCCTGTTGGAATTTCAACTCAGCCGACCATTGTCTTAGCGCCTCTGTGAGACGACTCATCGCGACTCGCTCCTCAAGAGCCTCCGCGTGAACAGAAAGTTCAGCATCGCGGACTCTGACGCTTTTACGGTGTATAACAAATTCCATCCAATACCGAATCATCGATTTTAATTTTTTTAATACCATCTTTTCCCGAAATCTGCCCATCTTAGACCCCAACACCGCCTCTCGAAACGCCCTCAACGCCCTTCCTTTTCGTACCAACAGCAACCCCGCCCTATTACGACGCTGCGCCTCTGCCCCCTCTCGCCACCGCATAATCGCCCTTCGTGTCACACACCGAATAGAAAAGGAAAACAGCCTTTCCACGTCGATCTTCGGTGGACCCCACGAAGGCGTATTCCGCTGCTCAGTTGAGTTCGAAAGCTCGACTACTCCCACAGGAGAATCATCCTCCTCACATGAAAGAACTACACTGTCCATCACCGACACACCAAAATGAGGCGCATCGCTCCGCTCACATTCAGCCGCCTCTTCTGAAAACTTCAGCAGATCTTCCCGACGTCGAAATTGAAATGGCCGTCGTCGAGCTCTCATGCGTTTGAGTATTTCTCTGTGTTTTCCCAAGATGGCCCTGTAGGCATCCATAGCCGCCTTATCAGCCTTAGTCATACCCTTGCAATGTATTACCCTATCGAAAGCATCCAACAACAGGGGTAGATGGGCGCGCTCAGCCGCTGGTACCAAATCGAGAGTCTCCGCTAGAATGGCATTAGCACTGCTCATGAGGAGGAGGGGAGGGACAATACTACCAGGGAGACTCGATCTGCTTACTATCAACACCCTATGCAAATCGAGAAACAGTTCTAATAGATCAGCCTATGGTAGGCAGTATTATTGTTGAGATCTACTGTCACCTCCCCCAATGATGATGATGATGATGATGATGAAATAGCAGCCAATCAGCCCGGAGTGCTAACCGATAGACTTCTCCTGAGTTTCAACACCTCCGCCGCCGCCGCCCCTTCTGAGAATGAGTTTTACATGTGATATCCAATCCTAGTAGAAGTCTATTGACCACGCCGTAGCGTGGTCAATAAAATTCAGAAACTCAGAAATCCCCGATACTCATACAACTGGGAACAGCCAATGGCAAGCAGTATTCTTGTTATGTTAAGGTCCACTGTCTCACCCACCCATTATGATGATGATAAAATTGGCGGCTCATCAATCGTCGAATTCCGATTGAAACTATCGAGATTGGTCACTTAAAATCTCTGACGAGCGTTTCACCCATCTCTCGTATGATCCACCACGCCAAATGTGTATATATTTTTTCTCCAGTGTAGAAAAAAATCCAAATTTTCGGGCTCTGGCTACTGTAGTTGCAGCCGAGCAAACACGACTCCACAAGGACTGAAATCGACGATTGAATTCAAATTGGATTCAACCTAGGAAGGTATAAGGTATTAACATATCAACCAACTAATACTAACAGATGGAATAATAATATCTAAACTCCATCGTAAATATTTTTACACGACCACATCCATAACGGCGCGAGACCAGTAACAGAGAATATATTTGATATCTAGGTTGCTCTAACACTGCTCGTCACTCCTCGGTATAGCAAGGAAACGCCAAGTTTTTTCGAGGGGAAATCACATTATACACGATTGACATGGTAGAGTCTACCAGGTAGACTATACGAACCGTAAAGGGTAGCGTTTATCAACTGTAACCAGGCCAGCAGAAAAAAGGGGGGAGGAGCCAGTGCGGGAATATACGCACATGGTCAACTACATGTGTTGCTAGCAATATGGAAATTTTGAGGAAATTTTGAGGAAATTTTAAGGAAATTTTGCGGAATTATCGTTGATTTTAGTATACTTATACCCAAAATCGTGTGACTTTTCATAAAATAGTGAGGAAACCTACGAGCTCAGTTGAAGAAACCAAACATATATATCTCCATACTGGGAGGAGCACCGTAGACTGTTCTCAGCGGGGGACAGGGGGTCAATTCAGATCACTTTTCTAGGTCGCCTCGGCCATTTCCTAAGGAGAAACGTACTTAACTACTAAGAAAGTAAAATTCCCAATAACGTAGAGGATGTAGCTGACTAGCCAAGATTGCTAGGACAAACCAGATTGCGTTGCACACAGAAACTGACCTGGTGTGGTCACAGACTATCCATAACAGCCTAAAACACGCAGGCAGCTCACGATGAGGTCCCGGACGAATCCAACCACAAGGCGATAGTCGCTGTGGATGGACCCACACTCCCATCTACTAGAAATGTCTAACAACGAATACAATCCAAATATCTCTGCTGCGGGATTACCTTTGGGAGACAAACTCTGCTACATCCACATCGATGGACTGAGCTGGGACGGGCGCAGAAGATGAGCCAAACTCTGGCCATCTCCAGACATCTAGCACCTTACTTTAATCGTCGATATCGATCGAGTATCTGCAGTAGCTTGAATCTAGTAGCTTCCTCTGTGCACAGGATGCATCAATGGCTCACCACAGGCTTATCGGCAGACTAACTAACTCAACTGCCTTTTCAATATGACCCTCCCTGTCCTCCTATGACTGTCTGGTATCATGCTCACGGCCCTTCCAAACGCTACACAATTGTTGGACTCGAGTCACAGTGTGAGTTTGATACAAAAATAGTGCCTCATGCAGCGTATGGTTACGACAGCTGATCATTGATATAGTCCTACAACATAATCACTACGTTTCCATAACACATTAGTCCGATCAGTCCTTCATAGATTCACTATAATGATCAGATATAGAGAGCAGTCTTCAGACAATCTCTTATTAGAGACTCAGGTCACGCGCGCTCGGGGTCATCATTTCATCGCCTTCACTGATCAGACTTGAATGGCAATAACTTCACTAACGATGACGAGGCTTGCGGGGTTCATCCGCAACAACACGTCATCTCTGATATGCCATGTCATCACATCAGTGGAAGCACCTC